TATTCTATATATCTAAATGCTTATTCTTTAAATAATAATAATAATAATTATTATTATTATTATACTAATATTATATATATTGCATATGTAATTAAGTAAATATTTTTTTGTGGATTGTGGATTTTCTAATCGACGCCAATTTTTAGCTCTATTTCGAGGTGTAAGATATCATTTACAAGATTTTGCAGGTCAGGGTAATGACCCTGAAAATGAGAAAGAATTGTTCAATTTTCATCATGCGTCTTTAAGGAATGTGATCGAGAAAATATTTGGTATTTTTAAATCAAGGTTCACAATTTTTAAGTCAGCACCTCCATTTTTATTTAAGACACAAGTAGAACTTATGTTAGTATGTGCAGCACTACATAACTTTCAACGTAAAGAATATCGTTATGATGAATTTTTAATTGAAGCGGTGGATGAACTTTCATCTTCAACGTTACCAGTTAATGAAGATCATATTTTTGAACCTATTATTCAAACCTAGGAGCAAGAGTGAAAAGACGCTAATGCTTGAAGGACTAGTATATCTATAAATATGTGGGTAAATGTTATTTAAGAGGACAAGATATTATGGAGAATTATTATTATTATTATATTTATCTAGACATTATTATTTTTGTCTTTGACTCTTTAAATTTGAATGTATGAATTTTTTTTTTGAAATCTTATCAAATGTCAAAAATCTACGAAAATTTTACAAAATTTCACAGAATCCATTAAAATCCTGATTTAAAAGTCTTGCAGAATTCATTAAAACTCTGATTTTAAGTCTTGTAGAATTCTGCAAAATCTTAAAAGTCATGAAAATCCTGCAAAGTCTTTTAAAATCTGCAGGATTTTTTTTTAACCAAAAAAGTCTTTTAAAATCTTAATCCAATACACCCCCCTAAACTTCAAATATAATTTAATTTAATTTTTATAAAAATTAGTTTAGTTTTTTTTATAGTTTAGTTTAGTTTAATTTTTACAATAATTTAGTTTAATGTAATTTTTTGAACACCCCCTGATAATAGTACCCCTTAATTAGAAATTTTGGTCCTCATAATCTTACTCGGCAATCATGTGATTTAGCACTCCCCTACCAGTTATCAATTCAGCATAAAAGATAAATCAATAGTGAGCATGCATCATTTAACACTATATATTTATTAGAAATCATATATATCATTGATGATATTGTGAAATTACTATGATTAAGTTTCATTTTAAATGTCAGCGTGTTAAGGTTGAGTTAAATATATTATATATATATATATATATATATGATATCAACGTGTATTGGATACGATTAAATTAGAGTATATAAATTAAATTTAAGGGATGTTGGATAATAAATTTGGTGTGTTAAACAATGTTTTTTTTTTAATTTATAAATATAATTTACTCAGTGTTTGACGATTAAAGATAAATATATGTTTGTAGGACATCGTTGACAAAATATTTTTTAAATATATGTAAGTTTTTAATAAAAATACATGTATTTTTGCGACCCATAATAATCTTACATATTTCGATTATAATTGCTTTTAATACAAATATATGTAGTTTTTTTAATAAAAAAATAAATGGCTCTCACCTACATAAATCTCCATGGTCAAACACTCACCAACTGGCAAATACTAAGAAAAAACACGCTATACAGTTTTGATTGGATGAACTTAAACCATAAGACACAACTCATTACAAAGTATGTCTGAGGGACCCTTCTTTTGTCAAAAAATTTTCAAGTAATAATTGATTATTGTTCATGAACAATAAAAAGAATTCAATTTCATCAAGGTATGATTCTCTCACATGGAAACATCATTTACCTGGTAGTGTGTTTGTGGATTATATGCAAACCCGACATGTTTAACTTTAAAATTGATATATTTAGAGTAACGATAATTGGTACAAAAGACATCAAACTAAAATCATCTCGGATTACTCGATAAGTTGATATAATTTCCGTCCAATTGTTTGTTTTTCAATTAACACCGGTATTTAGTATATGTATTTTATAAATTAAATATTTACCATATATACTTAAAATCATCTCTTATATATAAAACATCAATAATATTAAAAAAAATTCTTTAATTTTTTTAAATCTTTTTTCTTCCAATTTATACCTAATTTAATTTTTATTTATTATAACTGGTTAAAAATTAAATTTTAATATTTTAAATAAATTATATTAAATAATTTTTTTTGTGTTATAACATAAATTATTTATCATAAATCTTGAATATAATTTATATATTAAAAAAATTATGTTGATTCAAATTTTAAATATAATTTATATATTCAAACATAATATTTACTGGTATTTTAATTTATGTAATTCACAAGTTAAATATTTATTATATATAACTAAAATTTAAATTAAATTAGATATATAATTAAATATTTATTGTTAATGTAATTAATTTTACATCATCAATTTTTTTTTTAACTTTTTGTACCACCCACATCGGCACTAACTCCTCGGCTAAAAGCATTTGGAGCTCGGGGGGTTAGTGTACCGCTCACATCGGCACCAGGACTCACCCTGACGACGATAGGCTTGGACCACGTCAATTCGGAAGGTCGGCCCATCTCTCTAACAGATAAAATAAGCTGATAAGAAGGAGATCTTATCATATCTTAACAAACTTAATTATCAACAAGAAAAAAACTCTAATTATATTAAGGTACGTGCATTATATATATGAGACTCATACACCTACAAAGACTAACTTAAGTATTGGAATCTCTTTTGCAAGTACCAACTCTATCTCGGAGCAGCAGACGTACTGAACAGAGGAGGTTCACCAATCTTATCGAAAGATCATCTCACCCACCAATCTCAGGTAAAAACACCTTTTATAATAAAAAAAACAGATTTCATTAAACTTGATTCCAATAAGAAAATAATACAAAACATTTAAGGAAATATATATAAAATTTATCCTTACAATAATAGGGTGTTTGGTACGAAAAACTTTTTTATATCTATAAATATGTTTTATGGATAATATTTTTACCGAAAATGTCATAAATATGTTTCGCGTTCCATTTTTATTACAACTCATTAACTTGAATATACATTTTGGCTTTTAAATATTACAACTCATTGAATGACATTATAAATAGTGTCTTCAAACTTTAGCTTTTGGTTGTTATGACTTATCGGATAAGATTATAAATAGTCTCTTTAAGGCCAATACATTATACATCGAATTATTTAATTCCATTCTCCATATTATTTTATTTTTGATTAATCCAAGCACAGTTTAAATCCTCGTAGCATTTTTAACAAAATATAGTGTCATAATTTTTTTTTTTATAAATAAAATTTGATTACTACCAGCATAATTAATTTACATGGGAAAGCATGTCGGTACTAAAAAATCCAATTGGAAAGGAGAGAGAGAGAGAGCAGTCCAATGGGAGGAGAGAGAAGCAATAATGATTGCAACTTGGGTTTTGTTTATTTAATTGCAAAGTTATGAGAAGAGAAGAGATAGCAAAGTAAGTAGTAAAAGAAATTACGAGAAAGCATTTAACTAAGGAAAGGAAAGAGAATGAATTGAAGGGATAGAAGGTTCGGTTCCAGATTTGATGTCACACCGCCACTTTCGCCCATTCTGCCAGCTATGTGAGTTCGCCACTACCAAACTTTCCCTTCTCTCTTCGCTCACCTCACCTATTTCATTCGTCTTTCTCACTCTTACTCTCTGCTCTTTACTTGTTTCCGCATGTGAGCCTTTTTTTGTCCTTTTCTGCGCTCGATTCCGCTTTCTCCAACTCGTCTTCTCCTCTTTGGTTTCGTTTGCTCTGTTCCCGGTCAAATCGGTCTTTTCTGTCAATGCTCTAATTTCTGACTATTTCATTGTTTATGAATAAATTCTGCTCGGTTCTTTAGATGGGAATTTGTTGCTGCACTTTTTCCCTCTGCACCTTTTTATTTATTTGTTAAGGATTAGATTAAGTAATTGTTAATTGACCTATATTAGTATTTATTTATTTATTTATGAGTGACCTTCCTCTTTACTAGGTGGTGAGAAGTATCGATTAACAACTAGATTGGTTGTCGCCTTCAGAGTGATTGATTTTTCTTGACCATCTTTCTCTCCTTTCTAAGGGTGAGACCAGTCAGTGGGTGAAACAGATAGTTTACCTGTGGCTGTGGGTCTGCACAGTTTTTTCAAGTTGCCAAAAATAGTTTTGAAGTGCTCTCTGTGTTGCAATAAGACTTGGTGTATGTACATAGCAGAATGAAACAAAAGGGTTTTTTACTGTTCTCCTTGGAACTTAACATAAAATAGAACTCTCTGTCTTCTTGCCTGGCTACGAAAAGTACTCTTCGTATTTCCTTTGACGGGCTGAACTTCTTGGTTGATTGTAAATACCTTGTTCTGCAATAAAGTTGTTTTCATCACTCTACTAATTTGTTCTGTGTTGTTTATCTTTGTATGGCATTTACCACTGTTTTTCAATTTTTGCAGCTCGATGATTTTGTTGATTCTTTGGTGCAGAGATGGAGGTTGCTCGGATCTTAATTGATCTTCGTAGACGTTGCGTCTGTGGTTGATGTCAGTAGAAATGGACTACATATTTGTGCTTTTGCTATTGGGTTGCTTATGTTCTTCTGTGTTGCCTGATACGCAAGGTGCAATCTTTTGTCCTTATGGTACTCAACCCATTAGAAAAACATATAAGCTATATAGAAATTAATTGCCAAACGTAAATGCATTCATTTTCTTATTCCGGGGATAAAACACAGATTTTCAAACTTCAATTTCCAATTCATTTATGAGGAATACATAGATACATACAACTGTTTATTAACAGAATTGGATGGATGCCTCATATTTTTCCAAGACTGCTGTGGCTTTGGACATTTGGCTTGGTTTTAGTAGCTGTGTAATGTTCTTGTTTATTTCAGGAGATGCACTATATGCATTGAAGCTATCTTTGAATGCTTCAGTTCACCAGCTTAATGACTGGAACCAAAATCAAGTGAATCCTTGTACTTGGTCACGTGTTTACTGTGATGCAAACAACAATGTTATGCAAGTGTAAGATATTTTCTGTTCATGTTTTTTTTTTTTGTTTTTAATTATTTGATTTGCTGAAGATGTTGGCTGTGGTTACTAATTGTAGAAAATTATACATTCACATTATATATTTCACACTTTTATATCTTGAATTCGTGCTTGCTGTGTAATTATATAAATTGCTTCATTGCAGATCACTAGCGTATATGGGATTCACAGGATACTTGACCCCAAGAATAGGAGTTCTAAAATATCTTAATGCTCTGTAAGTATTTATATCTCAAAATATCCACACAATTTTATTCACATTGATAATTCTTTTTTTTTTTTTTGGCATTCTACTCCATTTTAGATGATGGGGAAGTTCTGACTTGTGAGATAGCTTCAGTTGGTTATTAAAAACCAGTTGCTGACATTGTTCTTGCATTCCCCTTTTTTTATCTCCCCCTCCCCACCTTTTTATTGGCTAGCCTTATCATTATTGAATTGTTGCATTCTAGTATAATAGGATTGTAAATTTGTAATATCAATGTGAAATTATATATTTACATGACTCTGTTATTTTATGTTGCTTTATAATATTTAAGCTTTTTACAGTTGACTATGCTATTTTTTGTGCATCTGATGAACTGTAGTCATGATCTGCAGTAAATGTTGGTGATTTTGATGCATACTCTGGTTAAGTCTTTGTTATTTAGATTTATGTTTTCATGATGATTAATTTTATTATTTTGAAAAGTTATTGACATCCTTTAGTGGATTGTTTTATTTTTTTTATTTTTTTTATTTTGATTCATTCTCATGGTTCATTCTTGTTGTGTTGCAAACATTCACACCCCTCCCCTCTCCCTTTTTTTATGGAGGGGGGATTTGGCTTTATAGTTCTTTTGTTTTATTATATGTTTTTGTGGAAATGATTTTTTTTCCTTCTAAATATTTACCATTAACAAAGAAATAAGAATCAGGATTTAAATGTAACAATTGATCTATATTATGCTTGTATCATGCAGTTCTTTACAAGGGAATGGCATCGCTGGCAACATACCAAAAGAGTTAGGAAACCTGACAAACTTGGTCAGGTTGGATTTGGAAAACAACAAATTAACTGGAGAAATTCCTTCTTCCCTTGGGAATCTTAAGAAGCTGCAATTCTTGTAAGTATGGCATTCTGCCTGCTAGGTTTTACAGATACATAATGAGTCTTAGCATGTATTTTTATTGTGTAATGTTTAAACGTGTCTGTTTTTTTGTCCTGCAACTAGGACATTGAGCCAAAACAATCTCAGGGGGACCATTCCAGAATCACTTGCCAGTCTTCCATTCTTGATCAATGTGTATGTGAAATAATGCTTTTGAGAACTTTGCAATTTATTTTTAGAGCATATTTCGTTAATTTATTACCTGATTGATTCTTCAAACTTCTCTTTTGCAGTTTGCTAGATTCAAATGATTTGAGTGGCCAAATCCCAGAGCAGTTATTTAAAGTTCCTAAATACAAGTATGGATGGATGGTAAAATTAGGTTATGATACATTTAAAGCACCATTTAAACTTGTCTTTCTATCCCAGACTGCAAGGATGCCTTCCCATCAAACACTTGAAAAGTGGTCACATACACCCACCCAGATATAGAATTTAATAAACTATTACTAATATTTCAATTGAGCAGCAGTAGATGATTCTAACGGTCATTTTTGATTCCTCTTTTTATTTGCATTTGAAAGATTGGTGTGTGTCACATTTTGTTTCGGCAAAACTTAGTTCTTGTAGCATGACCACTTTCCATTTTCCCAACGGCTTGGTAATATGATTTATTGGACACAAAATCCTTTATATGATTAGTTCTATTGAATTGTGGTTGTGGAAGTGAAGTATATCGTCCCATCCCATTATTTAGGAAGTGTAAAAGGAAAGGGGAAGAAATAAGGAATCACCAAATCAGTCACCTTAAAAGAAATTAGGCTCTTGCTTATAACCCTAGAAGTGGTGTTACTTTCATCTTCTAACAGACATTATCATTTGTAAACCTTTCGATCCTGAAGTATGGACAAAGCCTTTGCCCACTGATATATTCTGCCACCAGTTGATTTAAAATGATAATAAATAGGTTCTGAGGATTGTACTCTCAACCACTTGTTGAAAGTGGATCCAATATCATATTAACAAACTTAGCATGGTAAGTGCAACAAATAGGAGCAATAATGATAAATGGGTACAAATCGGGAAGATTATTATGGAAACACTGAACAGAAATACTGGAAATCTAATCAATCTCAACATATACGAATGTGAAACTGTTTTTATTCCCCCTTTAATCGGGTGTGACCATGTCATGTTGTCTATGGAGTTCTTGTATATATTTGTTTCCCATTTTTAACAAATATTTTATACCATTACATTTTGCTATTTTAATTGTGCTTATTGCAGTTTCACTGGAAATAATTTGAACTGTGGTGCCAGCTACCATCAACTTTGCGAATCTGATAATGCAGATCAAGGTTACTTGATTAGAATATTTTTCTTTCCTTCTTTTGCTGTGTTGTTATCTATTCCCACTCCTTTCTCTTCTCTACAACCTGAATACTAATTTGCCTACTCTTGGCAGGTTCATCCCATAAACCAAAAATTGGCCTCATAGTTGGAATTGTTATAGGATTAGTTATTATCCTTTTCCTTGGTGGTCTGCTGTTCTTTTGGTGCAAGGGTAGACACAAGGGTTACAGGCGTGAAGTTTTTGTAGATGTTGCAGGTTTGAGTTTCTTTTCTAGATTGAAATGTTGTTGTATGAGGCTTCTCTTAAGTAAAACATGGATACAATGTTAATATGTGTGTTTTTGTAGCTTTTAATAATATTGATCTGGAAACTCTATCAATGCATTCAGTTTCATAATGATCCAATACTGAAAGTTCATGAGTTAATATGTATTTAGTAGTCTTTATTTCTTCACAAGTATCTTTCTCCTTTTGTTGCCAATATGATTTTATCATGGGTTTCCCTCTTTTCAGTGTCTTTACACCCCTGTGCCTCCCAGGGTCCATTGGCTAGAGCCTAGATGTTAGGGATCTAAAATCAATCTTGGCTCGTATGTTAAGTGTTTGCATAATTGGTCCTTAAAACTAAACACTGAAGTATACCCATTTATCTCTGTTCCCTAAACCTTTAATGTCCAATGAATCTGGGATATGATTAAATTTCGTGGTGATAGAAAAGAATTTTCTGGTTTAACCTATTCTGTAATCTTTTAATTGTGAGTACTTGTTGAAATAGTGCAGTAGCTATACTAATGAGATTGATCTTTAATGTGAACTTCCGTTTTGAAAATTGTGAATGCTAACTACAAATTACGATTCTATCATTATTTTTTCTTGTTTTGTCAGGTGAAGTAGATCGGCGAATTGCATTTGGTCAACTAAAAAGATTTGCTTGGAGAGAACTACAGATAGCCACAGACAATTTCAGTGAGAAAAATGTTTTAGGACAGGGAGGCTTTGGAAAGGTTTATAAAGGTGTTCTTGCTGATAACACAAAAGTTGCTGTCAAAAGGTTAACTGATTATGAAAGTCCTGGGGGAGATGCAGCTTTCCAGCGTGAGGTTGAGATGATAAGTGTAGCTGTGCATAGGAACCTGTTACGGCTGATTGGGTTTTGTACTACCCCAACTGAGCGCCTCTTAGTTTATCCCTTCATGCAGAACTTAAGTGTGGCCTATCGTCTACGAGGTAATAAGTTACAATGCATATTGGCATCACTGGTACTGGTATGCTAAGTATTCAATTCGATTTACTACAAAATTCAGATATCTGATTGTTGAATATCATCACAGTAAGTTCTTATTTTGTTTCAGTCATATTATTATTTAAACATTTTTAGAAATTAATTGGTCAAAGAAAGCTTTCAAATATTTAAACTACACATTCTAGGGTATATGCCAACAATTTTTAGGCTTTATCTAATACCTTGGAGCAATAAAACCGTTTAACTGGAGGATTATATAAAAAGGGTATGTTGGTGATTGAACCAGATAAGTCATAAAAACATTTAAACTAAATTAGATAAATTATATATTAATATTAATAATATGTACAAATGTACACATTGGTACGTGTGTAAATTATCAGCAAATGGAAATTTCAAATGACAGTTAAGAATAACATAAAAGAATTAGAGAACCTTATATTGTCCTCTAATTTATTTAATTGTATAGTTTTAAATTCATGACTGGTGATCCACAAACCATTGAAAAAGTTGAGAACCAAAAGCCTTTATCCTGATCTGACTTTCGACCCAGTCATGTCCAAATTTTAGTTTTGCAGAAATGGTTTTCTAAACCAATCTAGTGTCTGTTTGGAATGGATACATATTAAGAAGAGTTTTTGAGAGTTTTTTTTACTGAAAATAAGGAGTCTTTTTCGGTAGAAAAACTTATTTAAATTGTATGCAAATAGACTCTTAATTCTCCTGTTTTTGCAGGTTTTCACTGGTTTTATTAATGCCAGGGTAGTTTGACTGTTCAACCTCTAACTGTATGGGTGACAGTTAACCGTATCTTGTTGATCAGTTGCAGAAAAAAGTTTTTTTGTTATAAACTATTTTTTATTTGAGGGACTTGGAAATAAAATAATATGCAAGAGTTGAATGATTGAATCAGATGTATGCTTTGTTACCAACACTGTCATCATGCCGACTGATACAATTTTAAATATTCAAGCATTCAGCTTTATACTACCTTTACATCAGAAAAAGCATAAATTATCAATATTAAATAATTATAGCTATATAAATGATATGATTCCTGTTTATTTGTATAATATGTTTGGGTAGGATCGATTTCCATATATTGTTTCTGTCTTCATGTAAAATCTGGCGCCTTTCCCAGTGATATTTTACTAGGTGAATACTGATGCAGAACTCAAACCTGGGGAACCTGTTCTGGATTGGCCTACAAGAAAACGAGTGGCTCTAGGAACAGCTCGTGGCTTAGAATATCTTCACGAACATTGCAATCCTAAGATTATTCATCGGGATGTGAAGGCAGCTAATGTATTACTAGATGAAGATTTTGAAGCTGTTGTTGGTGATTTTGGTCTGGCAAAGTTAGTTGATGTTCGAAAAACTAACGTCACAACTCAAGTCCGTGGGACAATGGGCCACATAGCTCCAGAATATTTGTCCACTGGAAAGTCCTCGGAAAGGACTGATGTTTTTGGCTACGGGATTATGCTTTTAGAACTTGTTACAGGTCAACGAGCTATTGACTTTTCACGTTTAGAAGAGGAAGATGATGTGCTGTTACTTGATCATGTAAGATCTCTTTCTAATATCATAGCCTCCATGTTTGCCCCCGTGTTTTTTGGTCTGTTTCTTGTTTGTGTAGCATGCTTAGAACTTGTGTGCGCCTCTTGGCTGGTTTGGTGAATGGTGATGTCAATTTTGGTATTTTATCGCATAGATAAGGATCAGCCCATCATAGTTGCTCCACCTAAAGAGTATCCTAACGCCGCTTGACAGGTGTAATGGTTGCAGTGAGTCGAGGAAGTTCATGTAGTTATAACTGTACCTTTTCATTTTTATTAAGCTGGAAATACTTTGAAGGTGTGTTGATTATAACATTGATTTAAGGCGAACTACGGTGCCTGTGTTTATTACTATTCAAAAACCAAAATCTACCGTTTATCAGTTTATACTTGTTGGTGACTTGATTACTGTTTTTGCTGTTTTTTTGTGCTCGAATAGGTTAAGAAATTAGAACGAGAGAAAAGACTTGATGCAATTGTTGACCGCAACCTAAATAAAAATTACAACATACAAGAGGTAGAAATGATGATACAAGTCGCATTGCTCTGTACGCAAGCAACACCAGAGGACCGTCCACCAATGTCGGAGGTTGTAAGAATGCTTGAAGGAGAAGGGTTGGCTGAAAGGTGGGAGGAATGGCAGCATGTGGAGGTCAATCGGAGGCAAGAATACGAGAGATTACAAAGAAGATTTGACTGGGGAGAAGATTCGGTTTATAATCAAGATGCCATTGAGTTGTCTGGTGGGAGATGAGTGGATCTATAAATTTATAACATATATGTTGTATGTTGTACCTCAATATCCTTTTTTGCTAGGTTAAGCTTGATTAGGGATGTAATTTTTCTTGTTTTCCAACTGTAAAAAAAGGGAAAAAATAGTTGTAAAATTTTTATGTTCCAACAGGCTTTATGGTGTGAATTTTTTTCCCTAGATAAATTAGGAATTTATTAGAAAATTCTGTTTGGTGAATTTTCAGCAATGATCCCATTACAGGGGTTCCTATTAATTACAACACATTTCGTCAAACAATGATTTGACATTTAAATGTTGGATACTATCTGTGAAATCACAATTTCCTTATGCGGTACTGTGGTAGCGTATTTTTCTAGTAGATGGGCAAAAGACTTTTCGATACCTCTGTACATTTTCTAAAAACTTAAGAAAATACTTTTTAAAGACAATATTTTTCTCTAATTGTTATTTTTTTATTTCGGTAATACGTTTTAATATTTAATAAGATCTCTTATTTTTCCGAAGACAATAAGATCTTTTATATTATATGTATTATTGAATGGATTTTCAATTTTGATCAGAAAACAATATACCGATCATGTATAGATTTAATCCTTTAATTATATCGATCTTTAGTAGAAATTTCACCTCTGCCAGCCTACCTGCTTATCCCTGAGATAGAAACTAAGAATGAACAAAATCATTATTTAAATACAAGAATCAGTACTTGAAGTTGCCAATGAAAAAGAAGTCTGTCATTCGTTTCCATTTCTCAAAAGGGACATGTCTCTAAATTATCCTGCAGAATAGCTAGTATCAGTAGGTAGTTCTGGCACATTTTAGCATTTGTAGCCTTTACTTACCATAACTTTTTGGGTCCCCGATGATGATGCTGCAACGTATATAATTGGACTCGTTCCTAGTGTCATATTTGTTGGCAACAAACATATACCTCAAATTATTAATGTTTCTACCTATTAGGACGTGAACCACGTCTGCATATATCACTCATGAACATGCATGATCTTACAAGTGCTCTCATCCTTGTTTTTATTGAGCTCTTGCATTTTGGTTTCTTCCTTTCCTTAGTCCTATCTAGCTTTTCTTGATGATTATTTCTGAAGGTGACGACATATTCTTCATTGTAGTATTCTTCAGCCAGCAAATGGGGTGGTGGATTCTGCTCCGAATCTCTGCTTTCCCATTCTTCAATATCCATAGCATATTGAACATTACTCGCGCCTGCCATCGCCAAAGCCTCTAAGGAAACCAACATTGTCACTGCACTAGAAACAAATTAAATTGTTCTTGTTTGTTAAGTACATATGTTGTGCCTCCGATTGCCCAAAGATGTTGAATTGTTTTTGTTGTTTGCACGTACGACAATATATTTATATAGATAAAGACCGTTTAACATAGAGGCAGAGCATCATTTTGTGCCATGAATACATTGCACGTTTTCAAGTGGTATGAGGTCAAGTTTTCAAGTTTGATTTTGCTGATAAATCACATGACATGTATGGATGATTGAGGGTGCAGATTAAGCTCCATTCCTGACCTCAAATTTACATCTACCGACTATTCTTCAAAGGTGAATTTGACAACTGAAAGTTGATGAGTTGGAGATATAGAAGTAGCTATCATGAATATCTCGAGAGTGTAACACTGTTACCATTGAGAATAATTGAATACGGAAGTCTGAATTTCTAAAGCTATTATATATACAAGCTCACAAGTATATTGTTTATCAAGTCAGATAACATCGTCTTGGAAGTGATACCGTATATTATATATGACATTTTTTAAAAAGGGGGTTGCTTTCTTATACCACTATATATATATATTTAATGATTTAAAGTTATTTGTGAAACAAAAGTTTTATTTGTAAAATTCTTTATCTTCTTCATTAACTTCAAATTATTAATAACTAGTTTTTAACACTTACATCGCACAAACTACATACTCATTATATAGAACTAAAATTTATATAAATAAATAAATTATATTTTAGTTTTATGATTAATGATATAAAATTGGTTTTAGCTTAACTAATAATTTAAGCTAGTTTATTGATGAGTATTGAGTTATGTTAAATAATTAAAAAAAAATAGAAAATCACTTTTATAGCAATTTAATTCAATTTGAGCTAATTACTTTCCTAATGAAAAAATATTTGTACTTGCTAAGTAACTTCCATAATAGATTGAAATTTGGGTAGTTAAAACAAGCACCTATGATATGAGTAATTTAAATGGTTTTATTTATTTATTTTAATATGTGAGGGAAGGATGTCATAGTATTAGTATTGATTATTATAAAATCATATATTATTTTGTTTCAATAAATAAAAATTATAATAATTACAATAAGATTCAAACTTAAATTAATGTATATTATCTCAACTCATCATTAGAAAAAGTATGGTGGTATGTAAAATTATACTTAAATATCATCATATATTCATATATATATATACAAGTTAGTTACTTAAATTAAAGGGTTTTCACTAGTGTGTTAATAGATTTCAGTTATTTTGATATATTATTAAATATAGCCATTATTTTATGTTTTACTTGGATTGGTTAATTAATATATTTTAAATGAATAATTGATTAGTATAATTGCTATTTGTTTTTTTTTTAATTTTTAATAATATCTATAAATATCCACAAATATTAATCCAATTTATATGTATTAATTTACTTGATTGATATTCATGTAAATAATTAATAAAGGATAAATAAGTATTTATTTCACAACTCCCAAGATAGATGGTATATAGGATTAGTGTCTAGGAGTGAGTATAAATCAGATTGAATTGGATTTATCCTTATTCATACTCGACGTGAACTTTTGTTTAAATATTTTTTAAAGTTCAAATTCGATTTAATAAGAAATTACAAGAAAAATGCTGATTTTCGACGGAAATTTTTGACAGAAACAGATAAATTTTTTATGAAATTTTCTTTTTCTGACGGATTTTAATCCGACGGAAAAAGTGGCGTCAGAAAAAAAAATTTGTTGGAAATAATTTTTTCTGACGAAAATTTCCGACAGATTTTTTGTTAGAAAATTTCGTCGAAAATTTCTGATAATTTTCCGACAGAATTTTCCGTCGAAAATTATATATTTTTTTTTAATTTTAATAAATTTATTAATGTAACAACCTTCATATTTGGCCTCTTAAGAGTTATATTTCACAATATTTCACTATTTAACGTGTTTTATCTTTACTTGTGCAATTTCTAGGAGACTTCCTAAAATGTCACCCATCCCTGTACTACTCCAGGCTAAGCACGCTTAACTGTGAAGTTCTGATGAGGAAGCTACCAAAATGTATATGTATGTTGTCAGTATAACATATAAAAAAGAACATATAAAACTCACTAGCAACATCATATACAATAACTGCAACAGAAGAATCTCTTATGTAGCTTGGAATGAGACTTCTAAATCTTTCTTGCCCTGCAGTATCCCTGTGTCGGTCAGTTCTCGGTTTGGTAGGTAGGGTCTTTGAGTTCAACAAGATCCATAATCACCCCTACAAACCGGGCAATTGTGCTTTGTATAGGACGATAGGTGCCACAAAAAGAAAAGGGCCAGATGGAGGGTTATATATTTCTTGCCTTTAACAGATATCTAAAGTAAAACATATACCTAAGACGGACAACTTAGAGAGCTTGTTTATTACCTGTATTCTTACATCAAGGGACTAATTGTATAACAAATTAAAAAAAAAAAAAAAAACTATCAATATTTGTGTCGTGCATCAAAACCATTAATGCAATTTGTCCCCCTCGCCCAAGTAAACTGAAGGATCATTGGTATGAAAGCAAGTCTCCTCCTGCTCCATCATTGCATTTAAGAAGCCAATCCTATATTCAGTGAATCACAAACACCGGCTTCTATTGAGAATAGTTTTCTCTAGCACGAGCAACCTCCTCCTTGCTGCTCTGTCTGGGATGAATTCACCGTGGGTTTTAAATTTACATCGACCATGTCTTCCTGCTTTGTAGAAGAAAGAGTTTCCATCCCTGGCAAGGCAGCAGCAATCTTACGAAACAAAGGCTGCAATATGGATTGACAGAAAACATTAAAGACACAGAAACCAACATGTGAAAGAAGATAAACTAGAGAAACAAAACAAAGACATTAGGTCATCAATTTGAAGTTATAGATCGCTGGCATCATAGTTCAGAAGAATGCTCTGATATACTAAATATATCGGGATAACTGGAGAATTCAATTTTCACCTTGATGTTGAAGCCTGCTTTTGCACTGGTTTCTATAAACATGATTCCGAACTCACGGGACTTTGCATCTCCTTCCTCTATAGAAACTTGCCTGTTTTTAAGATGGTAACATCACAACACATTATACGAATGTAAAACAGTGCAAGCTGCCAGGTAAATGTGTTAGCTATGATTCCTTCAATTTTTAACTACTAATAGATCCAAAGTTCACGCCCTAAAACGAATTTTAGGTCATCCAAAAACTATATTTAATCTACCAGACTTTTACAGTTTTCGGATGAAACAGAACATGGAGCCACCAACAGAATATCAAAACATAATATGGAAACCCCATTTTGATTAATAGACGAACACTAAAACATATCCAGTCAGCAAACAGTTAAGAATTTAACTTTTTTATATATAAAAATAATCATTTAGACCAAAATTAGTACTAACCTTTTATCAACAAGATCAGTTTTGTTTCCAACCAAGACAATAATAACATCACTGCCACGTTCTGTACGAACCTCCTCAACCCACTTGTTAGTGTTCAGAAATGATTGCCTGTCTGCATAAGAACAGCTTATATAGGTTAAATAATTATAAAGTGATGTTAAATATATCATTAACACTAAACTTCTAAACCCACATGCAAACACAAACAAGAGAACAGGCATGAGTGCAAGCAAGCAGACTCGCAAACAGGGTGGGACGTGGATGCAATAACAACATAAATGTATCTTAGGAAATAAGATCAGAACAGTGACTCACACTTGTGTATATGAAAGAATGCATTCATGTGCTACAAAACCTTTTTGTGAGTAACATGGTCAATAGTTTGGAAAGGTTATGTCACGAATAAATCCAGAAAGATCCAGAAAAAATCCAGTTAACTGGATAATCAGAGTGATATAAAAAAGAACATATAAAACTCACTAGCAACATCATATACAATAACTGCAACAGAAGAATCTCTTATGTAGCTTGGAATGAGACTTCTAAATCTTTCTTGCCCTGCAGTATCCCTGTGAAGTTAACATATACAAAGCTCAGAAATTGTAAAAATAACTTTAAAATAAATAATTATATTATAAATATAATATTATGTTACAAAAAATTACTAAATTTTTAATATTAACACATAACAATTATTATTATTATTTTTGTAAGAGAATGTTATATATGAAATTGGGTTGAGCGATGTTTCTAAAAATATAGGGGATTTTCTTTGAAAGTTCAAATAGCTAAGATGGGGTCACATTAGCAGTTGGAAGTTGGATCGGGTAATGCTCATTCTATTACTGTCTATCTCTGCTCCATTGCTTACATGTCAAAGTTGTTGATTTTTGTTGTATTTGTTTCTTATAATATATAATATATTTGTGTAGCATTTGCGAATGGTGACAGACAGCGGAAGCTAGCCCTCGATTTCGTGTAACAGTTGGTAGCGCGTTCTATACCATTTTGTGGCTGTCAGCACACCATCATAGATCATACATCATACATTCATAACGCGTTTTATATAAACCCTACAACACTTCCTGGCCCTCACTTTTGTTACCGTCACTTTTCTTGCATTAACCACGACTATTAGTCAACAATAATCATGCATCCAGATTCGTCACTCACATTTTATTATGATAAATGACAAAGTTTAAATTATTATAAGATATGATTTCATGTAATACTAGATTTAACTTCCAATTAATCTGTATATCTTATTTTTAATATAAGTTAATTCAAACCAATCTTAACATTTAGTTTGGTTGGAGTTGATAATTTAAAAAGAAAGAAAAAAATTGATCTGATCTATAAAATATAAACTGATTGCAATATTTATTGATTTGGATTCGAACAAAATGCAAATCAGACCAAATCAATTCATTCGTCCCCACTCCTTTCTATCTCCCAATTATACTCTATTGACCACTATATTAACCTCAAACAATATAGTGAAGTAATTTATTTTTTCAGGAGTCATTGAATGAGGGGAACTTAAGCCTCGGAATTAATTGAAACGCCGCCAGGTTGATGGATTTCAGATATATATGGCAACAACAACAATTGACTCAATTCAAACGCAATCCAAAATCACAAATGAATTTGTTTATCAACGCATTTCGATAATTTTTTAAGGAATATAAAGTTAACCAATATTTGATTATATTATTAATTAAATTAAATATATATAAAAAAATATTACAGTTTTAAAATTACTTGATAATCTTTCACTTCACTTTTATTTTAACATATAAGATTATATTCAAAATATATATAAATAAAGTTTAAATCAATTGAAATTTAATATATATAATCATAAATGTTATATTATTAAATATAATGATTACATTAAATTTATATTTTATAAAAGATTATTAAAAGTGTAATTTTACTTGACACTAAAAGTTGACCTAGTAATATATAACTTGAAATATAACTCCAAGCATGTGATTTAGCAGTAAAGGTTAACCTACACTTAAGTAAGATTAGGAGTTCAAATCCTACCTTATATATGCAGTCACGTTAAATCTTGGAGCCTTGACAATAGATATTTCAGGAACGAAAAAAAAAATATAACTTGAAATACCAATAAATGTAGGGTAGAAAAAGTGTCGAATATGAGGTTGAGAATAATACATCCAGCCCAGAATGTATTCTGCACCTCCCATTGCTTTAATAACATTTTTATATATTTTATTTATATTTAAATCTTTTATATATTTTTTCTTTATCACATCAATGATACTCACACCTTTCTTATATTTATGCTAATCATTGATTAGACTTTTATGGAGAGAATTTAATTTAAATAATTAACATAACATATATGTTCGAGAATTAAATGTGAGTAATTAAAGCTAGAAAGATTAAATACAAGGTAAACCCTCGATGTTCGTGCATTTTTTTAACTCTCACCTATGATTTTTGTTTCTGAAACTTTTTTAATGAAATTAAAGATCGTTTTCACGTCAATAAAAAAAGATAATATTAAAAGAAAATATTGATAGGGACTAATTTTTTTTTTAAAAGTATGTATAGAAATTAAAATAAAATTATCTTAAAATATAAAGATTAAAAAGATCAATAAAAATAATTATAGAGATTAAAAATATTTATTTTAAAATATAAATTAAAAAAATAAAATAAGTAAAATTATAAAAATTAAAATAATATTTTAACTAATTTATAATCTATTAAAATAATTTTAGTTTTAATTTTAAATATTACTACTTTTCTACATGACTGACTTATTGTATATAATATTATTCATGACACTTGTCAATATTTTTTGTTTAATTTAAATAACATATTATAGTAAACTAATATTAATTAATTTTAAAAATTAAGAGACTAAATTTATAATAAAAATTTTTAAAAATAAAAATACATATTTACAAATCTATAAAGATGGAAGGTTTATTTAGATCTATATAATAAATCGTATAGACGTATAGTGTATGTTAAAAATACGTGTTACAAATATTTTTTTATAATAGTTATCATTAAAAGTTACATTTAAAACATCTTTTTACTTAATTAGTGTTATAAAATTCTTTAGACGACATGAAAATTAAACTCTTATTTTGAAAATTAGAAAATTTCATGACATAAAGTAAAAAAAAAAAATGTTTTACTCTTCATATACTAAATACTTATTAGTTTTATTTTGTTGACAAGTACATGAAATACTTGCAACAAATTATCTCTTTAGATGAAGATTAGAAAAGAGTTTCAATCTAAATTAATTGTGGGAAGCCCCAAGTGGAAGTTTGGTCTTGCATGGAAGCAAAGCCAAAATCATCCAAACCATCAAAGAACCCTTCGGGCAAGCCCTCATCGCTTTCCTTGGCCTTCTCCTGCTCAAGCATCGGCACGTGCCCCTCGAACAGCGCCACGTGTCCGAACAACTTGTCCTTCCTGGAAAACGTGGTTCCGCACGAGCACTTCCACGTGGCCTCTCCGCGGCACTGCTTGGCGTGGCTCCTCAGGTCGGAGACCACCGCGAAGCTCTTCTTCAGGCACCGCTCGCACCGCAGCGTCTTCGGGCAGTGCCTCCTCTTGAAGTGGTTCCTCAGGCAGAACACCGACTTCAGCGCCCTGAACTTCTTGTGCTTCCTGTTCCTGTTGCACCCCTCGAACGGGCACGAGAACCGCGTCGCCCCACGCGCCCCGTTCGCCAACGCTTCCGCCGTCTTGAACTCGTCGCCGTGCGCGCGCATGTGCATGCGGAGGTTGGCGTCGCGCGTGAAGCCCTTCCCGCACACCTCGCAGAAGTGGAGGTGCTTGGCGAGAAGCTCCACCGCGTCCAGCTCCACGACAAGGGTTTCGTCGTTGTCCATGTTGTTGTTGTTGTTGTTGTTGTTGTTGTTGTTGTGTTTCGGAGAGTCTGAGGTTGGGGGGAGAAGGTTTTGAGAGGCGGCGGCGGTGAGGGCGGCGGCGTTGGTGATGAGGTGGCGAATGGCGGTGAGGATTTCGTTGGAGACTGTGGTGATTTGGTGGTGGGTGAGGAGGGTGCGGGATTGGATGGATTGGAAGAGGAAGGTTTGAAGGGAATCGATTCGGGTGCTGAGTTGGGAGAGGTTGCGAAGGGAAACATGAAGGGATGACTCGATGCTGTTCTTGTTTGCCTTTGGCATGTGGTTATTGGGTTTATTAATACTTAATACAGAATCTCTGCCTAGTCAGACTCAGTGCTTCAAGCCTTCAATTCAATTCCATGCCTACATTCATCCCATTAACGCCTCTTATATATGCTATCATCTTATCATTCTTTGTACAAACTTGAAAATACCCTGCCTTCTTGCTTTTGTCGTCCATGCACCACGTGTTCATTACATTCTGTCAATTCACACAAAAGACACTGGTCTTACACCCTTTTTTTTTTTTACTTGTTTTTAGTATTTTAGACTATTATTTTTTGCACAAAAAGTCGTGCTAATGTCAATTAATTTTCTTTACTATTTTATTGTTTAATGAATTTTATCCAAGTGCATGTATATATAATATAATATAATATAATATAATGTTATAACATGTTTCATGTTATTCTTCCAATTGTATAATATAATAATTTAAGGCTATTACCTCGTGCATTTTTTTATTAACCAGGTTTTAATGCTCTTTGTGAGTTGAATTTATAGGATAGGACCACCTGTGTCACATTCAATTAATTATAGTAGATAATTTTTTAAATATTGTTCTCAACTTCTAAAAATTTATGTGTAAATTTCATATATATATATATATATATATATATATATATATTGTTATTATATAAGGGTAAAAAAAATTTATCCAAATTATTTAACTCTTCTTTGTTAATGGAGGAACCTTTCTTGAAAAAAAAAATTAAATAGGATCTAGTAATTTTCATCTTCATTTGTCTAAAAAACTTTTTTCCTAATTTTCATACTAAATTCTTGATTTTTCATGTTTTTTTACATTTGAATTAAAAAAATACGTGACTTTGAGATCTTTTTAATCAAGAAAATACTAAATTTCTTCTTATTTTCATACTTATTATATTATTAAATACTTGTTAATATTGTAAGTAATTGTTTTCAACCTATTAATAATTTATTATCATCATCTATTATTGGATCTAAGATGATTTGACATGTAGTTTTAATGAAAACTAATAAAGCATAAAATTAGTTATTCTATCATAAACTCCATCATCAACTCTTCATCTCCCATGAATAAAAAATTAGTCACCTATTATCATTATATATTTCTTATGGTTATGTAATTTCTTTGTTTTTAATATTTAATATTTTTATACGTATTAAATTAATTGTTTAAAGTGTGGGTTGCTTATAAAATTTTACCGTTTGAGCAAAATTTATAAAAATATAGTGTTAGTTGTTTAAGAATGATGTGACATGGTAGATCTTATTTAAAGTAAAATGAGAAACTTAATAAGTTACTTATAAGAATTACCATTAGAGATACTTTTATAACCAATTAAAATCACTTATGTTATAACCATTTTATGTTGCACTAGTTTTGTATGACATGAAATTTATCGTTTAAAGAAATATTAAAGGGAAATTTTAACTTCTAAGACTATCACTATCACCATCAATGTCACTACTACTGGTATCACTATCACTACTAAATACTTTGCAACATTATTAATGATAACAATGACAATAGTATCAATGAAAGTGGTAGTGATGACTATAATAGATGTGGTGTAATAGTGGTGGGGGTGATGATGATAGTGACAATAACATTAATAATCTATTTTTTATTTATCTTTTATAGTGAAATGTTTAGATTATAATAAGACGTGACTCTATGCTAGAGTCGGAACCAACTAATAATATCTTCAAGTATTTTAGTAAAATTACATAATATTTATTTATTTCCAATACAAGTTCTCATGAAAAGATATAATACAAGAAAATTTGGATTCGATCTCAATCTATTTGTATTTATAATAAGGTTATAATTACAAAATTTTATTATTTTTAATATCTATATAAAAATTGTTATTAACTATTTTTATATAAATAAGTACCAACACTTAGAGTGCTCCCTGTATATTCGATGTCAACATTGTGGAGAATTTTTTTCTCAATTAATATTTTTAAAAAAAAAAATTACCAAAATAATATCTATTACACATTATTTATCCAAATAGACATTTTTACTGTTCACACTTAGAATTCGGTTCTGAACATTGTTATTATTATTAATTTTTTTTTTGCATTTTAGTTTCTGAGAAAGAGGAAAATTAGATTTAGAACGGGCCGTTCTGCAATCAAAACGGCCCGTTCCGGATAAAAAAATATATACATGACAAATGGATCAGAACGGGCCGTTCCAAGCAGAATGGGTCGTTCCAGTTATAAAATTGACACATTCCTGAACCCAAAACGAAAAAAAAAAAAATTTAAACACTACTCAGAATTCGGTTATCTGGAAACCGAATTCTGAGTGTGAATAGTAAATAAGTCTATTTGGGTAAATAATATGTAATAGATATTTTTTTGGTAATTTTCTTTTAAAAAAATATTATTTGAGAAAAAAATTCCATTGTGGAAGGAAGAAATTGATTCCATTTATACACTTTTTTTTCAAACTAAAATGGATATCTTGATATTTTTGTATACCGTCCGCGTGACTTTGGCCTACGTGACCTACCCATAAAAAAAATGTGAGTTGTTTTCTTGACTTAAATGTCCCCTTGTGGGTAGTAGCATATTTACTTAATTATTTTTTCTAAAAGTTAAAAAAAAAAAAGCATTATAACAAAATTAAATTAAATGAATTAGGAAATTGGAAAAAAAATTACAATTGGATTTAAATTCTTATTATGTAATGTAATTAAATATTTTGTTAGAAAGTTAACTGTGAGTCAACAAAAATTTGGATGTTTGTGTAAGTTTTTTAAAAATAATTTTAAGTATATATATATAATTTGTTGTTTTTGTCAAAATTATTAAAATGCTTTATTATTTAAACATAAAAAGTCACAGTTATAGTAAAAATGGGAAAGTTAAATTATAAAGTTATTAAATGATTAATCAATTTTTTTCTACTTGTTCCTGGAGTAAAAAGAGTTCTATCTGTTTGTCTTTAGAAGTCACTCAAAATAGCTTCTCAAAATAAATAGAAAAGTATTTTTTTTAAAAATATGAATTTTCTTAAAAGATTAAACAGACATTCTATTTTTTTATATAAATAATTTTTACTAAAATAATTGTGATTTTTTACGAGGAAAAAAGCTGAAAAAACGTATAATGACAGTATTTTACTATTTTTTGTCCATTCTGTTATGACTTTTATGCAAATCGAATCTTATAATTTTTAATATTAAGAGTAAAATGCTGTCAAAAAGAATATTAAAAATAAATAGTGTACATGCATTAATATTCTAAAACAATTAAAATTTGATCCAGCAACAAATTGTTATATATAATAGGTTAAATTATATGTTTAATTCTATTATAATATCAATTTTGTAATTTTTATTTTTTTTAATTTCATAATTTTAGTCCTTTAATTTTATAAAATCTGTAATTTTGATCCTTTGTCAAATATCTATTTGTTTATTAATAAAATTGTAACATTAATCATGATATAACATTAAGAAGATGACATATAATAATTAAAATTCAATAATATATTAAGACTAACTTTCATCTTTAGTTCTTATTTTTATGTCATAAAAATAATAAAATAAGGTAAAAATGAGATAAAATCAATAACTAAAAGTGTAATTTAATTTAAATATTATAAAATACTAATAATTGTTTCATCAACTTAATGTTAGATCATGACTAATGTTATGATTTTAAAAATAATTAGATGAAAATTTAATAAGAGAACCAAAGTTTTAGATCTTATACACTAAAATTATACGTGAATTTAAAAATAAAACAGCAAAATTATGGATTATTTAATATTATAAAGAGACTAAAAATATAATTTAACTCATATAATAAATTTGTTAATTTTTACAATAATTTTCTTAAAAATCATTATAACAATAAATTTTTGTGACTTAACGAACTGAATTACCTCTTAATAATAGTTTAATTAAAAATAATAAACATTTTAGATAATTTATTTTTATATATATTGAATGAACTTTTTAGCTATTTATTATGAAAGTTAACAAATCTATTATAAATGGATGGAACTGTGTGTAAGTCATGACCCTTTTGTTTTTATTTATTTATTTTATAAATATAATGATATTTTTTTTTGGTACATATAAATATAATGATATAAAGTTTTATTATTAAATAAATTATTTTGTCAAATTTAAGTTATGCAAAAAAAATTAGACTTTTTATTAAAATAATGTTTGACCAATAAAAATCATATAAGTGAAAATTAGTCTTTGATTATCAATTTTAAAATATTACATAAACAATATGCTTGTAAAAGAAAATTCTTAATTTATTTACAATTAAGATTATTGTTCCATCACATATTAACCATCACAAAAAGAAAGATATTAATTTTCAAAAATAGAATAAATTATTATATTTCTATTTGTATAGTTAAACTTGAATATCGGAATAATTAAACTTATTATCGAAGAAAATTTTGTTTGAAAATATTTTTAATTTTAAATAAATACCCTTAAAGATGTAGGATAATCTTCTTAAAATAGGTTTACTAGTAGAAATTTTAAATTGTTTTACTAGTAGAAGTGTAGGCCATATTTGAATACTAAAAAGTCAGCATAATGTTAAGATGTAGAATTCATTATCACCATCATAATCTTTCTTATTAATAAAAAAAAAAATAGTACATATTTTAGTAAATCCTTTTATTAGTAGAACACATATAACCACTGTTGACTTGCAAGTATATTAATATCAACAATTATGCGTTTAGATAACTTTGTTTGTTATATCATAAAATGATTTAAAAAAAATAATAATTTACATGTGTCAAATTGTATTTATTGTGAGAGTAAAAAATCTATAATTTGATCATTTGTATATATAAATTTAATTCTTTTAATTTTCGGTATTGACAATTGTTAATTGTAAATAAAAATAAATTCTTAGAGATTTTCAATAATAGTAAATTAATTTTTACAAAAATATAAAAATATAATTACATCTTTTATGAAAAATTTTATTTTTATAATAGTCCCTTTGTGATTCATTACTGTCTTTATCAGCACATGTATGTAGAGAGAGAATTCATTAATAATAAATATAAATTTAAAAAATCAATAAAATCTTATATTTTCAATAATTTTTTTATATAATATAAATTTAAGTGACTTAAATATT